GAATGGATAAAAAAAAGACAAGATTCAACTATATGCTGTCTATAAGAGACTAACTTCGGGCCAGGCACAGTGGCTCACGCCTGTAATCCTAGCACTCTGGGAGGCCGAGGCAGGAGAATTGCTTGAGCTCAGGAGTTTGAGACCAGCCTGAGCAAGAGCAAGACCCCGTCTCTACTATAAATAGAAAGAAATTAGCCAAACAAGTAAAACTAGAAAAAATTAGCCAGACACAGTGGCGTGTCCCTGTAGTCCCAGCTACCCAGGAGGCTGAGGCAGGAGTATCCCCTGAGCCCAGGAGTTTGAGGTTGCTGTGAGTTAGGCAGCCACAGCACTCTAGTCCAGGCAAGAGAGTGAGACTCTGTCTCTTAATACATAAATACATACATACATACATAAATAAACAGATTATCTTGGGATTTAAGAACACACATAGGCTGAAGGTGAAAGAACAGAAAAAGATATTCCATGCAAATGGTAACCAAAAGAGAGCATGAGTGGCCATACTTTAACAGACTAAATAGACTTTAAGTCAAATACTGTCACAAGAGACAAAGAAGGACGTTATGTAATAATAAAAGGGTCAATTCACTAGGAGGAATAGCAATTATAAATATATATATGTACCTAACATCAGAGCAAACATCAACAGAACTGAAGGGTGAAATGGCAACACAATAGTAGCAACACAATACCCTACTTTCAGTATAGGAAAGATCATCTGACAGAAAATCAGTGAGGAAAGAGCAGACTTAAACACTACAGTTCAGTCATCTGTCAGTATCTGAGGCAGACTGCTTCCAAAACACCCCTGAAATATCAAAATCCACAGATACTCAAATCCCTTATATAAAATGGATATATTTGCATATAACTTAAACACCCCCTCCTATATACTTTAAATCATCTCTAGATTACTTATACTGCCTAATACAATGTAAATGCTACGTAAACAGCTGATACACTGTATTAGTTTTTTTATTTGTATTATTTCTTATTGTCCCCCCCACAAATATTTTCATCCACAGTTGGTTGAACCTGCAGATATGGAAGCCATGGATAAAAGGGGCCAATTGTATAAACAAAATGGACCTAACAGACATACAGAACATTCCACCCAACAACAGCAGAATACATATTCTTCTCAAGTACACACAGAACATTATCTAGGACAAATCACATAGGTCATAAAACAAATTTTAACAAATTGAAAAACACTGAAATCATACCAAGTATCTTCTTTGACCACAATGAAATGAAAACAGAAAATATCAGAAGGAAAACTGGAAAATTCATAAAGAGATGAAAACTAACCAACATACTTTCGAAAACCAAAGAATCAAGGAAGAATTCGAAAGGAAAATCAGAAAATATCTTGAGACAAACAAAAATGAAGACGAAACATACCAACATTTATGGGCTGCAGCAAAAGTAGTCTAAGAGGCAAGTTTATAACAGTAGATGCCTACATTAAAAATGAGGAAAGATCTCAAACAACCTAACTTTACTTCTCAAGGAACTAAGAAAAAGAAGAACAAACTAAGTCCACAGTTAGCAGAAGGAAGGAAATAATAAAAGATCAGAACATAAATAAGAAAATAGTAAATAGAAAAAAACACAGCTAAGAGTGGTTTTTCTTGAAAAGATCAACAAAATTGACAAACCTTTAGCTACACGAAGAAAAAAAGAGAGAAGACTCAAAATCAGAAATGAAAGGGGAGACACATTACAACTGATACTACAGAAAAGGGATTATAAGAGATTAGCATAATAATTATTAATATATACCAACAAACTGTATAACCCAGAAGAAATGGATAAATTCCTAGAAATATATAACCTACCAAGACCGGATCACAAAGAAATAAAAAATCTGAACAACCCTACAACTTGTAAGTATAGTGGATCAGTAATCAAAAATTTCCCAACAAAGAAAAGCTCAGGACCATATACATCACTTCACTGAAGAATTCTACCAAACATTGAAAGAAGAATTAACACCAATCCTCTTCAACTGCTTCCAAAGAACTGAAAAGGAAACACTTTAAAACTCATTCCAAGAGGCCAGCATCATGCTGATACTAAAGCCAAAAACACCACAAGATAAAACTAAAGGCCAATATTCCTGGTGAATGTTGATAAAAAATCTTCAACAAAATACTAGCAAACCAAATTCAACAGCATATTAAAAGTATCATACCACATGACAAAGTGGGATTTATCCCTGGGATTAAAGCATGATTCAAAATACAAAATCAACATGATGCACGCCACATTAACACATGAAGGACAAAAATCACATGATTATCTCAATAGATGCAGAAAAGCGTTTGACAAAACACTCAACAAATTAGGAATAGAAGGATTTACAAACTAGAAATAGAAGAAATTTCCCTTTCTTAAAAAAAATTTGGTGAGATATATTAATAGCTTGAAAATATTTAAGCCCTTTGGCCCAGTAATTTCATTTTGAGAAACAGAAAATAATCAGAGATGTATCCAAAGTTTTATACTCATTTAAAAATAGGAAACCTAGAATTATTTAAAAAAAGTAAAGCTAGAAAGAGTTTAAATGTCCAATTGCAGGAACAGTGGTATCAAAATATATCAAACACAAACCCAAATATAACAAAACTATAAACTGTGCTTGCTCCTGAGTAATTAATAGCTCATGGATAATGTTTTCTATGTTTTATTTTTTTATTTCAGAATATTATGGGGGTACAAATGTTTTGGTTACATGCACTGCTTGCCATGTGAGGTATTATAGCATATTCACAGGTTCCCAGGATCAGGGCATGGACATTTCTGGGAGGCTGTTACTCTGCCTACCACAGGGCTCCCTCTCGCTACCTACTGGTGTTAACATAGAGGCAGGTATAGGGTGGTACAGGTTCAGAGTTATGGTACCTAGCTCAGTGTGTGGTTCATTCTGAGGCTTGAGCTCTCCCTGCACCTTCCGGTTTTATGTGAGGCTTACTTGAGGCTTGGGACAGGCTCAAGCCTCAGTCTCATCTCTGAAAAAGAGATCAAAGTACTCACATTCTGTGGGCAAGATTAGTCCATTGTATCAACAGGAAGCTCAGACTTTATTTGAAGAAATATATTAATTGAATCACTAGAATAGTCTTTGTGTCCCACTAAGAGAGCTGTATTAATTATTTAGTTTTTGTTTATTTAATGAGGTTTCATAAATATCTTACATCTTAATATTTGACAGGCTGGAGTTCTAGTGTCAACTGATACTTGTTTTGAGCCAGAATCCTGTCTGGTTCTTAAAACTTTGGTTTGGGATATAATTCTTATTCTTACAGGTCAATTTTCAATTTAAGTTAGTCTTAGGAACTGCTATAAAATCAAGGATATCTTTCATTTTGCTAATATTTTACATCAGTTGTAGAGGTAGGCTAATGTTCCCATTAAGTATCAAACACATTGAGAATTAGTGTTTAATTTTCCTCATACATTAAACAATTAATTTAAAAAGTATTTGGCCCTTTTGCAAGTTAAAATGCTTGTTGTTTTATAAATAATTATCTTTTCAGTTATAATACAAACTTAGTAATCTGAAGAAGCAAATTAGAATTTTTCATAAATGGTGATAAACATTGTTAAAGATTGTTGCTTGGGTTTTTGTGTTATACCAGTCAATTAAATTTCAGCATTACTTTTTTTTTTTTTTTTTTGAGACAGAGTCTGGCTCAAGTGAGTGCCGTGGCGTTAGCCTAGCTCACAGCAACCTCAAACTCCTGGGCTCAAGCGATCCTCCTGCCTCAGCCTCCCAAGTAGCTGGGACTACAGGCATGCACCACCATGCCCGGCTAATTTTTTCTATATATATATTTTTAGCTGTCCAGATAATTTCTTTCTATTTTTAGTAGAGACGGGGTCTCGCTCTTGGTCAGGCTGGTCTCAAACTCCTGACCTTGAGCGACCCACCCACCTCCGCCTCCCAGAGTGCTAGGATTACAGGCCTGAGCCACTGCGCCCGGCCCAGCATTACTTTTAATTAATGTTAATAGATCCATCAGTCCCCAAAATATCTGTGATATCAGATTTAACAAACCTAAATTCTAAAGTAGGTCAGTAGGTTATCAGGTTAGAAAAAAATTTATTGCAGTTTCAATGCTTTAAACTCAATTTAAAGCACTGAACTTAACTTAAAAATTATTATTAAGTAGATGAAATTAAGGTTTCTTTTCCACTAAAATAAGTTAATAATACATAGGAAAATAGTCTCCGTTACTCATGTTTTTCTTCTCTGAAATAGATTAACATGTACTATATTAGCCTCCTTATGAATATCTAGGACTCTAGATTCTGTAGGTGTGATTAAGAT